GGAGCCCGCGGCGGCTTTTTGCATCTTGCAAAGGTTTTCCGATGCTGCGATAGACGCAACTTGACTTTGAGCAATGCCGAGTATTCAACTTGAGTATTTGTCTGCGGTGGTCGATCGGTGTGCACTTTGCTAACGTGTCGTTTTATTTCTCCGAAGTACCCTTGCTCCGAAGTTGAGCTGTGTGTGTGTGCGGAGTCGCGCGCTGTCGCTGCCTTTCGTGGATTGTATAACTATTTTATTTAGGTGAATGTTGCCAATGCTACCAGCCAGTGTTATGGTTACTGGCATCCGGAGGCAAGAGAAGGAAGAGTGACTTCCAAAACAGTTTCTACTGTGTAGGGATTTAAAAACGAAAACAAAAACTACCTTGTGCCATCCAGCAGGACCTCCAGGCATTTAGCATGTGTTAACTAGCTGTTCATTATGGTTTTATAAGAGGTAGGCAGAGAGTATTACCGTTCCATTTTACAGATGTAAAAACAGAGGCAAAGCGCCAAGTCCTGATTCTTTATTCACCTTAAAGGGACGTGACTGAGAGCTTTAACCCAGTTACCTGTAATTACTAATCCTTAAAGCCACTCAGAAGCACGACCGATGTTGAGATGGTACAAACAGTGAAAAGTCAGACTTGCTCACCCCTCAGCGATTCCATGCTTGGGACTGAGCTGTCAGGGTTAAGTGATACTGGACTAGTCACGGCTTCTCTGGGTAGTTCCTGAACAAAGGTGCTGTACTCTGTGCAGAGTTGTGAGTGTGTCTGGACGCGCAAGCTGCAGTTGGTGATTGTGACTTGTTTGGACTTACAAAGCCTCCATTCTTGGGCTCCCCTTAGGAACACAGGTTAGGGGGATCCCCAGAATGAATAACTGCCTCTTTGACAGAGACACCTGAAAATTCACAGCAGGGACAGGCCGGGCAGGGACTTGCCCTGGGTGTGGAGAGAGGCTTTAGGGGTGGAGGTGGGAAGGAGCCCTGCATAGGCGACTTGACACATGGGCCCTATTCCTGCCTCCGGCTCTGACTCATCTTCTGACGCTTGGGGGAGGAGAGGTAGTTGCTTGATATTTTTGGCTTTCCCCCATAAAATGGAGACAGTTGCCTTCATTTCAGATCCTTTTAACGTCAGTGTTGAACGTGGGCTCTCATCCGAAATCTTTTAATGCAGGTATGGTTTCTGTGATATTCTTTAATAGCATAAATGTATATTCATATTGCAGCAAAACAATGACCAAGTGTGTAAACCCAGAAAAATCTTTTAAGACTTTAGCATTTTTAAATGGTCTTTAGAGAGGTATCTTTTTGGTGAATACTTTTGCAATTAGAATTTTATTATAAGGCAAAATGGATTGAACCTGCTTTCCCCCGGCACCTTAAATACTTGAATCATGCTTTTCCTGTGTAAAAATTCAAATCTTCCAGATAAGTCTGTAAAGTTTCCTTTCGAGCATCTTTCCCAGAAATAACTGCGGTGTGTGTCTCTATTGGTTGGTGTGTACTCTTTTAGATTTCTGTAAGCATTTTCAGAAAGGTCTCTGTACAAAGTGAATTTTTAATTGAAAATTATAAAAATGGTCTGTTCATAGAGATTTGGGTTCGGTTTAGAACAGGTAGCGTGAATTTGAATTACAATTGGTTGTAAAGTCTTTTTATTGTTAATAGTATGATCACTTCTTAAGACCATAGGTAGAAGACCCCCTTCTTAAGCAATTTCAAATCAGTTGAGTCATTAAGATTCTAAAGTTACTTAGTTGCAGGTGAAAACTTTCCCATTAGGAAAAATCCTGGAGCACTGGTGAATTCACCTTTATTTACTAAGGAGGCATTAAAGGCAGTGAAAGGCTGGGAGAGTTGCTACAGCAACAAAGTGTGGGTATAAACTTACAGGGCTAACATTTAAGGTGGTAGCTTTAGTTATTTATGAAAGCTTCACTGGTGTGACGACAAAGGGAAGTGTTAATGTGGGCACATTTCAAATTGGTAATTTCAGGAGATGAGTGAGTTAAAACAAAATCACATTAAGGGTTTATGTGCTTTTACATTAAATCTTTAATGAGGACTTTTGCCATGTGAAAGGTATTGTGCTTCGGGGTAAAAGGCAAATAAGGTCCTTGACCTCATGGAACTGACAGGCTAATAGTGATATTCAAAAAAGAATTCCCAGGGGCCTCCCTAGTGCCTCAAGAGGTTAGGTCTCAGCACTATCAAGCTGCCACCAGCCACTGCAACACAGGGTTTCTGTCCTGCCCAGGGAGGTACCCACATCGCGCTGCAGACCTCCTTTCTCACCTGCTGCTCCCCTCAGCAATGTATTTCAGTAGATCCACCTGTTCTGCTCCGCACTATGTCTCTGGTAAATCCTTTCACACTCCGGCACCTCTGGCCTGCACCCCCAGCTCTTGTGTGCATAAATTAAAGAATCTTTTAAAACAAACAAAAAAGGACTTTCCCCAATTATAATGATTTTGAATTCTTGAAAATCAATGTTGACATTTTAAAAAATAAATCATAAAAAAGGTATTAACCATTTTGAAAATGACTTATTTTACCTTTTCTTTCTGGCTTATTTTACTAAGCACGATCTTTTCCAGCTCCATCCATGTTGCTGCAAAAGGCATGTGTTTCTTTTTTTTTGGTTGCTGAGTAATATTCCACTGTGTATATGTACATCTTTTTAATCCAGTCATC